GTGTGTGTGTGTGTGTGTGTGTGTGTGTCTGTGTGTCTGTGTGTGTGTGTGTGTTTGAGCAGCTGTGTAATCTCTCATTGTGTTGAGTTGACTCACTCGGAGGATGAAGCAGCGACCAGCATCCCCGGCTCTAATTCCCATCAGGCACGAGCATAATCACATACAACGGGCTAATTCCGAAACACAAGCGTGTTGGATCGCACATGCAACCGCAGCACGACTCCTCTGTGCGTTCCGACATGTGAGAAGCATGTTTTAAACGAGGCTTGCTGCAGTTTCATGTGCTGCTTCCATGAGAATCGGTCAGATTCACAAAGCTGCAACTGTAAGAAAGATTGAACAGATTATTCTTAAATCCAATAAACTATATCGACAAATTACACAACGACAGTTTTATCTTTACGCCGCACATTTTTTAAAACAGCCTAATATTCGTTATAGTACTCCGTGTTTCTATCTTATTTATTCTAGATTGTGTTTCCAATTATTTGATTAAATACATTTTAAATTAACGAAGCAGCTCTCACTTTTATTTTTTTCTTGCAGAAGAAACATTTTTTAATTTGTCAACGATCCAAATCCAACTTCCTGTGTCTCTACGTCATGAATAATCAAGTTTGCTTTTTTTATGTTTGATCGTCCTAAATAAGTTTCATGTGATGAGTTTGTTCAGTGTCCCCACACACACACACACACACACACACACACACACACACACACACACACACACAGCAGTGGGTGGGGCATTCTTTACACACCACTGGGCCATTGACTTCACTCCGAGTATTAGTTCAACATCTTGGAGCTAATTATTTTCATGCTGTGTGTGTGCGTGTGTGTGTTTGTGTGTGTGTGTGCGTGTGTGTGTGCGTGTTCCTGCTTCATTAATTACACAGTTTCCACCTCAGCAGCAGAACATGTGATGCAGATTGTTCTCGTCCTCCCTCTCATCTTCCTGTTCTGGCACATTTACTCATTTAAAAATGGATTTAATCATAATAATCCTTTAGTTACACTCCCCCTCAATCTACTGGGAGGCCATCACTTGAGACATCGTCTTTCTCTCGGTTCGCTGTTTTGGGGGACGTCAATGTCTGATACGTCCCCCAACAGCTCCGGATCTCTCGACCCCCGACTTTCACCCACCGAGGCTGAAGCGGGAGAGAAGCGATCAGTGTGGAGAAGTGATGTAATCCGGAGGCGTCCGGAGCCTCCGGGTCAGCGGAGTCAACACTTTAAAAGTTTTTTGCTTCCAAAGATTCTTAAAGAAAGCTGTTTTTTTTTTTCCTGCAAGCTCGAGAGTAGAGAATCAGACGCTCATGATTATGTGGAGCTGAAGTGTTTTTCCTGTTTGTGTCCCACTTTACTCTAATGGTTTTCTGGTGGATATAATCCCAGCTCTGTCTAGACAGGATGAGTCTGTCTCCTTTCAAATGTCCAGTTATAAAGACGCTTAAATTCAATGTGGCAAATTACACATGAGAGACAAATCATATCAAGGCTGTGAATTGAATATTGATTGTGTTCTAGGTACTTTTACCTGTGTTTATTATTATTATTATTCTGAGACAAGCGGTGGCTCCTTCATTAACGGTTTGTGGAACCAGAGGAGCGGAGGACGTCGTCGCAGCATCGTTTTGTGATTCCGTTGTCCACATCGGTTTGTTTTTCGTCTCTGCAGGAGTTCGTGGACGTCAGCCCGCCGCAGAGGAACTGGAAGGGCATCGCCATCTCTCTGCTGGTCATCGTGGTCGTGTGCTCGCTCATCACGATGTCCGTGGTCGTCCTCACACCTGGTACGTGAGATAATGAAATACTGCAAATCTTCAATTTCACATGAAAGAAGACACGCTGGCGGAGGATATTAGAACCAGAACTGCACACGGCCTCTTGAAGCAGAGACACGTTTCCTCGGCACATATTTGAAAAAGTAAAGACGACTTAGAATTCAGCAGTTTTATTATACGCTGTACATTAGTAATGGCTCATATTTCATACATTTCTATTCCTACGTGTTTGTGTACATTTATATTCTCTCATTTAAAGCCGCTCTGTGTTGTATTTAAACATTTCTGACAGCTTTGCATAATGCAGTGACATCTCTTGAATTAGAATAAGGCCTACTCTCCTCTGTGTGTGTGTAATATGTGCATTCATGAATAGATGAATATATGTAATCACTGCATCTCTCCGTCAGTGAGTCACCCCCCCCTCCTGTCGTTTGTCTTTTCCCGCATCATTTTGATGGAGTGTTTGCTTTTCATTGTCTCTTTGCTTTGTCCTTTTGGTCTTCACAGATAAACCTGTGAAAATAAACTGGATTTCACCAAGTGTGTGTGTGTGTGTGTTTGTGTTTGTGTGTTTTCACAGTGGAAGTTCCCGGCAGCAGCAAGTCCAGACTGACTGTGGCAGATCTGTACAAGCCAGAGTTCAGCGTTCACGACCCCGAGGCCACGTGGATCAGTGGTAAGTACGACACCGAGAACAAAAACACACAAAAACAATCGAGAAATACGTTGTTTCCCGACTCCATGGTTGTGACGTCGTCGCTGAGCTCCGTGCCTCCACGTGAAGATAAAAGGAGTCAAGGTTTGACTCCTTTTATCGAACGGAAAGAATTCACCAGCAGCGTTTGATGTGTGACTTCTCTGCAGCGAGCAGTGAGAGATGTGCAGCTCGGAGCAGAGACTCCAGAGGTGGGGACGGTGTGGCATTGAGGGAAGCGCCACGATGATGTAACAGTGGAGAATAACACAGTGCGACTTTGAACAGAGGAAGAAAGTAGGGAGGTGACGTCCGCGCAACAGTTCGTGACGTTCTGGATTAGACACACGTTTGGATCTAAATCTGAAATACTTTTATTTTTGATGCTTCAGGTTCGACAGCGTGACAGTGATGATATTTGGACCCAGAGTCTGTTTTTAAATCATCTTTATCTTTATTTACGATTAGTTTTTAATCAGGAACGTATTAAAGGAAAACTAATTAAATATAGACAGATTCAATATCGGTCATTTGGTGCCTAACGTCTCCTCCCTGCGTTGATAAAATCATAATTGCTCTTTGTTTCGTTCACATCGTATTTGCCGCATTAGTAGCATGTAAACGCAGGATTAATAATGAAAATCGATAACCTCGTTCATGGAGCAACTTACAAACGGGGCAGCAAATTAAATTCAGAAAATTATCCCATCGTTAACGTGAGATAAAATACATTCATTTAAACGATTCTGAAAGATTTGTAAAGGTTAATTCTTTTCGGGGGGTTGTTCTTTTCTTTTCTTTTTTTTTTTTTAAAGCAAACCTGAACATATGAGCTGAATAACAAATCTACCGTTCAGTCAGGAGATGGACGCGATCTTTCTGTCAGCGGAGGCGAAACCGGCTCGGAGCCCTGTGGGAAGTGCATTAACAGAAAATGAGAATCTTTCCACCTGAGGTTTCATTACAGCCTCCGAGCATTTGTCAGTGAAGAGAGGGAGCCGGCGATAATTCCACATTTATTAAAACCATTTATTCAGCGAGATTATAGTCTCCGGAACGAGCCACCTGCAGAGTTTCAGCGGATTCACGGAGATGGAAGAAATCCCGCTCCGCTCAGGCAGGTAAAAACTCTGACGAGGCAAAGAGATCAAGGTGGTTCATGGAATAACGTTTGATTTTCACTCTGCCCCTCGAACGGTTACAAAAACGAATGACTTCATTTGACGTCTGACGGAGAACGTAATCACATCTACAGCTGAGACACTGAGATGCATTCAGAGACACAGGAAATACTGAGGTCACTTATTAAATTCTCCTCCTGACAAACCACCAATAAATACTTTTAATGATAAATGAAATTAAGATTTAACGAACCATCAGAAAATGTATTTTTATTTAATGCAGCCTGTGTTTTTAATTCGTCTGTGCGTAAACACATGAGCTAATCACAGCGCCCCCTGCTGACGTGCATGTCCAAACACAGATGGCCTCACAGTGGCGTGTCTTCAGTGAGTCTGGGTCAGCTGAAAAAACACAACTACACGTTTTAAAGATCCGCAGCTTTGATCATTGTTTAAGTTGAGGCAGAGGTTTAAATACGTGGCAGTGAGACGGAGTCTGTTGTTGCTTAAATGCTGTAGTTTGCACTCATCTGAGTTTAATGCGAGCAGCTCTGGTGGAGTTAGTCTGAAGGTGACATAACCACCTCCGCTGGACGCCGGGGGTCAGAGGTCGTGTTTTCAGCAGCTGCAGCTCCGGTGTAAACAGTGGTCGGCCATTAACGTGTCCTTGATTCTGCTCCCTGCTGTACGTCAGTGTAATCTGAGCGGCCGAGGTCTAAATGCAGCAGATCCACATCTGTCTCATGACGAGCGTCGGTTCCTCGCTGACCTTTCTCTTCCCCGATCTTTTCTCCCGGCCTGACACCTCCTCCCCGTCGCGCGTTACGTAAGGAGCACTCTGCTGGAGGTGTTGGTTTTTCCGCTAGACGTGTGACCGAACGCGTTTCCTCCACATCAAACCACGTCGCTCACGCTCCAGTCCTTCGCTGAAGAAAGAAGGTAGACGTCGGTTACGGCTGTTTGACGACATGACAGTTTGCTTCAGCGGTTAATTCAGGAGAGAAGAAGATGGTGCGAGAGCGACAGAACGTATAAGATGAGGGACGGGAGACACAAGGGCAGAAGCAGAGAGACAGAGGCGACTGTGAGAGATGGTTTTCCACCGCCTGCTGCGTCCTGTCCTTCCACAGGGAGATAATACTAATGACTAGTGCTGCGGCCTGTGGCTTCTCATTATGGGCTCTGGTTTGGGATGCCTCCCAACACACACACACACACACACACTTATTTCACTCCCTAAAATCTGGGACATTTGATCCGATACGATTCAGACGTCTGCGGACTTTGTATCAGCTCCACCAGCTGCTGTTGACAAGTCCGTGGTGTTTAAAGCTGCTATCATCAATATTTCACGTGATTATTTGTAGAAGAGAGAAGTCAATTTTAGTGACGACTGAAACTCCCTGTGTTCCTATAAGAGAGGATGAAAACACCCATTATATATATTTATCCAACGTTTCAGGTCACGTCCACGACGAGCATTTTAAATCTGCGTCCTCACACACCTCTCGCACCTGTGGAGGATTTCAGGAGAATATCTGGACTTGTGTGTCTGAGAGCAGCTTCAGAAACCCTGCAGGTGTTGTGCACGCTGTGTGTGTGTGTGTGTGGAAGCCGTCAGCTTGTGTTTGACAGCAGCTGAATTACATCATCTCAGACTGAGAAGGTTTTTTTTTTTTTTTTTTCCAGAACCACAATATTGAATTTTTCAGCCCAGCAGGGTCAGACGTCCCATTAGCCGTTTTGTTGAGATTGATGATAAAGTTGGGAAATTACCATCTGACATGTTGTTGTGGTGTAAATCTAATGTCGGCCGGGTGCGATGAGGGCTGAGAGCCCGGGTCTGAATTTACTGCTGCGCCTCCTGGAGGTGTTGTGCAAGCAGCTCAAACAAGTCCGCGGTGAAAATTGCTTCCTCGACAGGAAACCCCCCCCCCCCCATCCCCCAGACTCATTCCCTCTTCCCTCACATCAGAGTCCGGCTTCAAAAGCTGCTCTCGCTAATTTAATGGCATGAGGGACGCTGGCGTCACAAGTCATATAATAGCTGTTGATGAATCGAGTGAACGCAGAGATCACGTCCGACCACTTCACTGAAACTAAATAATCCAGAGAGCTGAGGTGCGGCTCCTGGAGCAGAACGTCATCAGGGTGATGAGTATGTTTCCTGACCACACGCAGCACGTCGGAGTTTAAGTAAAGTCCTCAGGCTGCGGATTGTTTGTAAAGTTAGATATAGATAAAAGTCTCTGCTTGTTGATGAAAACGGATCTTCTCTTAATTCACCTGTTCACGTGTGAAAACTACAAACTGACCTATGAATGAATTCAAATGCAGCCAAATATATAGAACGTGAAATAAGAAAATACAATTTGGATAAAAAAACAGTTCCCACATCGAGCGACAGGAAGCAATCGATGGATCATTATGTGTAATTCTTAGAAATCAATACATTTTTCTTCTTCATCATTCAAATCATCTTTTTCCCCTCCTCACATCGTTCGAGCTCTGTTCTTGTTGACACCTGCAATTTGCTGCTTTTCGTGTCGACCCCTGAAAGAAACATCCGAAGCGGCAGCACAGGCGAAATCAATCAGCCGACAACGAGGTGTCAAAGAAGTCCCGCTGTCTGAGTGACGTGCGAGGTCTCACAGATGCACGCCGCTTCGATAAACACGTTGAGATGAATCCTGGCTGAAGAAAAAACAGATAATTACTGTATGTCACACTGAGCGCCCCCTGCAGGCGTCGGTGTGAACGCCGCTCCATCAGTATTCCGCTCTCCGCTTATTGATGATTTTCTTGCATCATCGTCGACATTACGGACGCTACGCTGGTTTCTGATGTTACCAAGGAAACCATGTAATCGCCTTTCATGGACTCCGACAGTCCCGTGTGCTGTGGGGTCGCCGCTGACATGAATATGAATTATTTACGGGAGTCGTCGTTTACATTGGGTGCTCTTAATGTCGAGCGTGTTTACAGAAAGAAACATCCAGGTACTTGTGTGTGTGTGTGTGTGTGTGTGTGTGTGTGTGTTTCTACCTGCTAATGAGGATTGTACAACGATAGGCTGCGTCTCCAGCAGTGACCCGATGAATCCGAGAAAATAAAGGATGCATTATTTATGATGATATTCTGTAAAATCTCTGCATCATAGCGAGACACAAAACGTCCCCTGTTCAATAACATTTCCCCCAGTGGATCCTGCGTGAAGCTCGTGTTACTGAGCCGCCGCCAGAAATAGAGAAGAAGTAAACACACGGCATTCTTTACTTCTTCTTCAACGTCTGGAGCAGAAGACAAAACATCCTCTCAGGTTTTTTTTTTTTGGGTTCGAAACTCTTCATTTCTGCACATTGACCTTTGTTTTCCTGAGGTGAGGTCACTCTCCATCGCCTCGCACTTCCCTTCCGTTGCTCTTCGCTCGCGGTGCAGTGACCTTTCCAGGAGCCGCCGGCTGTTTTCATGCTCTCGTTTTCTCCCTCTCAGAATCGGAGGTGGTGTACAGGAACCGCGAGGGTCACGTCATCAAGTTTAACTTCGTCCTGAACGAGACGGAGGTCATTCTGAGCAACAGCACTTTTGTACGTTTGGTTTTTCTTGCTGTTTTTTGAGATTTAAGTAATCAGCCTCCGTTTGTTACGCGTCTTTATTTTGTGCTTCTCGTTCGTCAGGTGGCTTTCAAGGTGGCAAAGTACTCGCTCTCTGCCGATCTGAAGTACGCGCTCTTCGCGTACGACGTCAAACAGGTGAGTTTCCCTTCTCATAAGAAACGCCTCATCCGAACGGCACCATACATCAGAATCACACAGAAACCAACCACAGGCCTGCCGGCGGTTTTTCTGATTTGCGTCTCCTCTCACGAGCTCCCGAGCTGCGATCGGAGCCGTGGATCATCGTCAACATCGCCAGCTGTTCCTCTCTGCTCGCTTTTGTTGCCTCCCTGGCAGCCCGTCATTTACTTTGTTCTCCTGTGCAACAACCCACGGGTGCTGTCAGTCTCTCATCTGCAAACACACACACACACACACACACACACACACATAAATGCTGTTTTTGTGTTGGACGTGTTGATGACGTTTCTCACACAATACAAATATCTAAGAAGCTTTTTTAAAATGTCAACTTGACGAGGAGAACGCAAAGCTTTTGCTGCTTCACAGGAGAAACACAAACTACACTAGATGTTCGGACATGCGGCAGTCGTCTGTGTGTGACCGTGGATTCCTGTAAGGATCAGATCCGGCTCCTCGCCTTTTAGTGGGATGGATTTCTGTACATAGACGGAAGACGGAGTGTTCATCCATCTTTATATATAGAAACGTTCATGCTCAGGCATCATTTTCACTCCATTTCTTTTCAGCACATTAAATTAATTGCATTCCATTTTTTATTTGTTGCCAGAGCAACGTGAAATCCCCTTGAGGTGCTGGTATCGGCGCATTCTGTGTTTTTTTTTTTTTTCTGGATTGAATTTCTCTGAGCCGGTGCGCCGCCATGCGTGAAGAGAAATCAGCTGTGCAGGAAGCAGCACAGCTCACCTGGCAGTGAGGAGCTGAAGCAGAGGAGAGTTTCTGGGAGTTGAGGGCTTAAAGAAATTGATTTTAACTTCAACTGAGGAGCCGGAAGTTTCTGCAAAGGCTGAATGTACGTCAGTGGGAAGTTTGAGGAAAATAACGCAGAGTAAATGTGAAGGGAGGTTTGAATTAATTATTGAAAGTATAAGACAGCACCAAACACACAGAGAAATATGTCTCAGAGAAATAACAGGCATTTGGATTTATATTATATTTGCGTCTAGAGATTGTTGTTTTCTCTCTGAATCAGGTTTTCATTTCTTTTTATCCTTTTTCTGTTTGTTATTTTCCTGCCGTTGTTATTTTATTAGCCGCTTCGCCGACTCCTCTTTCTTTTCTTGACGTCGAGGCCGATATCGCTGCAACGTTGTCAGACAGAGATCAATATTTGCGTTTTGTGACGGTCTGAACTCTTGATTGCAGATGTACAGATATTCGTACACGGCGTCTTATATCGTCTACAACATCTACACGAGGTGAGTTTACCTTCGCTCGCTGTGTTTTATTCCCATGTTTTTAAATGTGACGATGCTTTGTGATACGTGTGTGTGTGTGTGTGTGTTGATCAGGGAGGTTTGGGAGTTGAACCCTCCTGAGGTCCAGAACGCCGTGCTCCAACACGCAGCGTGGGGGAAACAAGGACAACAGCTGGTGAGTCTAAAGGCTCCAACTTACACCAAACACAGTCGTCATTAAATCCTCTCGAAGCACAGACTCTAAATTAAATCATCGGTGCTAAATGGCAGCGTTCGTATCCAGGATATTTTGGCGTTGTGTGTGTGTGTGGATGGTCGGAGGAAGCGGAGACGCGTTGTCCATCTTTATTTACGGTCCCTGGGTTTGAGGCTTTTAAAGAGAATGTGAAAGTTCATTCCGATTGAACTCTTAAAAAATCCGCCTGGTGATGTGACCTTTTGCTCTGCTGTTAAACAAAAGAGCGTTTTTTTTTTTTTTTTGCACGGTGTGCTCAGACTGTGAAAATGAATAAAGTTTAACTTGCATGTGTGTATTCGCAGCAGTGCGACAGCGCTGACCCCGAACAAAAATGTGACGGAAATTCAAAGTGGCTGCTGGAAACAGAGTTGGGGAAAGTGAATAAAAATGAATCCAGGTGGATGCAGGATATTTGTTGACATGCAGGAAACGTCGGAGTGTTGCTGTTAAAATATACAGATGTTAAAACACTGGTGGAGGAGAGAGAGAGAGAGAGAGAGAGAGAGAGAGGTTTACTGCCCGGTGCGATGAACAAGAGGCTTTAATGTGTTGAAGAAATGTAGATAATTAAAAAACTGAGAATCCAGGATTATACACGAGTTTCTGTGTTTCTCTCCAGATCTACATCTTTGAGAATAACATCTACTACCAGTCGGATGTGAAGAGCGTCTCCCTGAGGATCACGTCCTCTGGGAAGGAGGGCGTCATCTTCAACGGACTCTCTGACTGGCTGTACGAAGGTGCGTGCTTAGCGAAGGACCTTCTGATGCGTCTATTGATCTCTCTGTAGATCCTGCGGCAAACTTTCTAAACTCAGCCGAGCTCCAGGTATTTAATGTTTCTTCGCTTTTTTCTTCTCTGAGAGACGTTCAGCGATCTTTGCAGGAGGACACACTGTGTTGTTCAGCTGCTTAAAAATGTCTCTGAGATTTGTCTCTGACATTAAAAAAAACGCAGCGGAGCCGACGAGACAGAACTCAGCAGAAAGGCGATGAAAAAATCAACAGCGAGCGCCTACGATCCATTAAGTCGCCGTGTAAACAAATTCAGCAACGTGCCGCAGTTTGCACAGAGAGCAGCACAGACGGAGGCAGATGGGAAACGAAAAAGAATAATTTTGGCTCGTAGATTCACTCTGAGCTGTTTTTGTGTTTTCTTTTTGATTTGCAATTCACTCCGGATGTTTTTTTTTACGGCGAATGAAAGAGCAGGATGTGTTTTATTGTCTGATTTAAAGCTCAAAGCCCTGATTTCTGGTATTTCCCATTGTCGCCTCTGAGCGTTATCGAATCCAACGAGGAATAATAATATATTTTAAAGCTGGAGATCATCTGCGATGTGTGGTGTCTCTCCTCAGAGGAGATCCTGCGTTCACACCTGGCTCACTGGTGGTCGCCGGACGGAGAGCGACTGGCCTTCCTCACCATCGACGACACCCGCGTGCCCAACATGGCTCTGCCCCAGTTCACCGGCAGCACATACCCCCGAGGACTACAGTACCCGTACCCCATGGTGAGATCGGTCTGCTCAAGCTTCTCTTTGTCTCGGAGCTGTTTGATCTGCCTGTTGTCTCGAGTGTCTCGATTTTACGTCGTCAGGCCGGTCAGACGAACCCTGCGGTCCGGTTGTCGGTGGTCAACCTGTTCGGAGCGACGTACACTCAGGAGCTGCAGCCTCCCGATCAGCTCCGACACCGAGATTTCTACGTCACCGTGGTGAAGTGGATCAGTCACACTCACCTCGCCGTGCGGTGGGTCAACCGGCCCCAGAACGTCTCGCTGCTGATGGTGTGTGACGCCACGTTAGGAGCCTGTGTTCAGGTGGGTGCTGGTGGAAACTCCAGAGAACTTTTACTGTGTTGAAAAGTGAACTTCATTTTCTTTTCTTTTCATTCAGAGGCACAAGGACTCCTCAGAGATGTGGCTGTCCAGACAGGTAAACCTGACTCCGTTGTTTTCTGCTCACAAAATGTCCTCTGAGGTGCAGGACACACAGACATGACCTCACCATTGTGTAGGAGCCTCTCCATGTGTATTAGCCTCGCAGTGATGTATGTTCCGTTATTGAGGCCGAGCTCGTCCATGCATAAAGTACGTCGCCTCTGAAGTCTGTCTCTCCCCCGCAGAGACAGGAGCCGCTGTTCTCCAAGGACAGGAGCAGGTTTTTCCTCACGCTGCCTGTGAAACAAGGAGGTCAGGGAGATTTCCACCACGTCACAATGTTCACAAAGAAGGTGACCGTCCCCTTCGTCTCCCTTCCGTCCCTCGCTGCCTCTGAAGATGGAAGACGAGAGACAGTCAGCATTTTTCTCTCTCTCTTTCAGGTGCGAAGCGACCAGGACGAGGTTCGCCACCTGACGTCTGGGGACTGGGAGGTGACAAAAATCTTATCTTACGACGAGAACAACCAGGTCGTGTAAGTTTTCAAATACACCCTCCGGTGAATTCTCCAGTTTTTTTCTCCGACCACGACAACTAGTCTTCTGTGTGCCGCAGCAGTGAAACGTGTTTTTGTGAACGTGCTCTCTGAGCCGCAGGGTTTGTGGTCGGGCGGCCCCGCCACGCAGAGGCTGGTGAATGCACACGTATAATAGATCCATGACCTTGTCCTACTTTCTCTCTGCTCCTCTTACACTCAGATACTTCCTGAGCACGGAGGAGTCGGCGCAGCAGAGACATTTATTCAGGTACGACGCAACAACAGCGTCGTCTTTTCAAAGAATCCATTCTTTCTGTGACCCGTCCTCACTGAACGTTTTCCCCCCGACAGCGTCTCCACCCTCGGCCTGTTTCCTCGGCAGTGTCTCACCTGCGGACTGAAGGAGGAGTGCGCGTTTTTCGACGCCGACGTCCACCCCGACGCGCAGCTCGCCATCCTGCGCTGCAAAGGTCAGAGAGTCAAAGCACGAGGTTTCAAATTTGGAGAAAATAAACTTAAAGGCTCGAAGGCTCCGCTTTGTGCCGATGAGTCGGTGGATAAAGGTGAAATAAAAACCTCTGAATTCTTTGAAACACACAGACGATATGAAAACACTCTCGACGTCTTTTCAGAAAACTAAAAAACCTTTTAAACATCAAATATTTTGTTGTGTTATTAAAAAACACATGAAAGATTAACTCCTGTAAAGAAAAACTTGGAGGTTCAACACGAGAAGCGCAAACTGGGAACTTTTCCGTGATTTATCAGAACTATCTTGCAAGTGGAAAAAAAAATAAAATCTCCTTTAAGCTTTTTCAACCTGACGAGAACTCAGTGTTTCAGCGTCCAAGGACAAAATGACCACAGGCGGAGGAGGCGGCGCTTTTTATTTCTTCAGCATCAATGCGATTCAAGAGTCTGTTACGTAAAACATCGAATGGGATTCAGATGGAATGTGGTTTTGATATTTGAGGTGTTGCAGCAGATCTCAGGTTGAGGATTCACGCTGCGGACGTCTTCTGCTTGTGTTAAAAACATTTATAATCTGTTTACACACACACACACACACACACACACAGTGTAACATGATGACTGTATTTCCCTCGCAGGCCCCGGAGTTCCAGCTGTGCTGCTCCTCAGTCTCGATGACGTGGACTGTGAGTCGTCCTCATTACATTTCATATGTGGCCAGATGTTGTTTTGTTTTTTGTTTTTTCTCTCACCTCTGCTCGGACACGTTTCGCTGCAATTACGCGCCGTCGCCTCGTTTGAGTGAAAGCAGACGACGCCGGTGATTTATTTCGCTTCAAGATGTTTTTATTCAAACGGCCGCGATTCTTCTCATTTCCATGAGATAACAGTCAGCGCTGTTTATTCTGTTTATCTTCATGTGGTTGGTCCGTAGTTTATATATCGCCGGAGGTGAAGCCCGAAGCTGCTCCCTCCACTTTAATTCATTTTGGTCCGTCGGCCCGACGCACTTCTCCCCTCCCGTCCCTCGCCCTGTCTATCAAACGGAGACTCTGTTCTTCATCCCACAGGAATGTGTAACTGTGATCATTTCTTTCTCCGCAGCGTATTTCATCCTGGAGAACAACCTCCCTCTGTGGACCGCGCTGCAGACCAAGAGGACGGTTCAGACCGACACGCGCGTCATCACCCACGACCACTACGGTACAGAGGACAAGTGTCTGTGTGCGATCCCCGTGAGATGATGCTTCCAGTCTGACGCGCATTGTGTTTGTGTGTCGCAGAGCTGCCGCTGAAGCTCACCTATCCTCCCGACTTCTCCGAGTCCTTCCTCTACGGCCTCCTCCTCGTCGTGTGAGCCTGTTTCTCTCTGCTTTGATTGCATTTACATTTTTCCCTCGTTTACGCTGAGAGCCGCGCCGTCGGCCTTCAAAAGGCTGGAAGTGAAAAGCTCGACTCCTCCGCAGCCGCAGGCCTTTAAGCACATTTTACATATCAACAGCTGCGATAAATGAAAGTAAAAGTTGTTCGATGAGAAAATTCTCAACTCACAGCGACGATTTGAATCCATTTTTTATGACTGTTCTGTCAGTGAGGTCAAACTTTGCACGACGGTGAAACTAGAACGTCAGCATCTGAGCATTTTATATAAAATATACATCAGGTCAAATGTCTTTGAGGCTTCAGCAGAAAATTGGAGTAGAATCCCTGAAAAGTCTGAAACCAGGAGACGGTGCTTCAGTTTATTTAGTCTCCTTCATTACGGACAGAAATAAAAACCTATTGTTTACGATAAAGAATAATTAGATTTCGTTCAAAGACGAGCAGAAGCAAATGATCTGCGAGTAACCGTTTATGTTTTGGTGTTTCCCGACAGCGGCAGTTCTCCCGGGGATCAGACGGTGACGCAGGAGTTCGGGCTGGACTGGGACTCGGTGCTGGTGGGATCTGAGCAGATCATCGTGGCTCGACTGGACGGCAGAGGTTCTGGGTTCAGAGGTCAAAGGTGCCGTTAATTCCCGTCAAAGATCTCTCTCTCTCTCTCTCTGTGCGTCAGACTTTGCACTGATGGTTTTTCTTTTCACAGGGTCTTACAGCAGGTCCACCTGAGCCTCGGCTCCGTCGACGCTGACGACCAGATTGCTGCTCTCGAGTATGTCGCACACTCCTCCGCACTTTTATTTTAAGTTTCGTGAGAATCTAAAGCTTCTTGGAATCGTCTGAACATTTTAAGAAAGGTCGTGCTGTGTTTTACGGATCTAATGATGAGTTAATTAAAACAGGAGTTAATCCCAGCCTCTGTGCCGAGGTCCGTCTCTTCAGGAGGTGTCTCAGGGTGAAGGGTGTTTGTGTTGCACATCAGAATAAGGAATAGATTTAGGTTTGAGGGTTCAACTCATGAATGTTAACAACCTGCGAGAGCCGGTGTGAAAAACAACTTCTATTATCGCGCTGCTTTTTTATCTGCTTTAAAACGCCTGTGTTATTTTTTCATGAATATCTTTATACGTTTAGATTTTATCAGGCCGACACAGGTCTGAAGAAAAGATTCCAACAGATATAAACAAACAGAGCGGGTGATTCTTCTTCTCTTGTTTCTCTCACACGGTCGTCTCAGGATTAACCTCTGACCTCCTGTCGGCCTCTTGTTTATCTGTAAATCGCCTCTCGGAGCCTCGGCCTCGGCCTCTTCACTCGCAAGTTCATTTCAAATGTGTTTGAGTCGTCTCCTCGTGTTCTTCAGATACCTGGTGAAGCTGCCGTTCATCGATCGCACTCGCGTCGGAGTCTTCGGAGAGGTTCGTCAATAAATTAAGTTCTCTTATTTTAACTGTTGTGTTTTTAAAAAAACGAAATTACCCACAGTTCCTTGTGTCTCCACCAGGACTACGGCGGCTTCCTCGCGCTGACGATGCTGAAGTCGACGGAGCGGCTGGTCAGATGTGCCGCAGCTCAGACTCCCGTCATCGACTGGTCCATGTACGGTGAGGGACAAGTAACGCACGCTGCAGGGACGTGGGAGTATTTATTACTTCTGCTGCCGCCGACTCGTGACGTCTCTGTCCTTCACGTGTTGTCTGGCTGGTGTGACTTTAATTATCTTTATGTTCTGCGTATGGGAATTCAGGCTTATTGGGTTTTAGGATGAAACGCTTTCATTTCTGGGACCGGTATCAGAGCAACGCTGCAGCGGAGGAGCGACTGTGGAGTGCGATTAGAATTTAATAATAAACACGAGTGAGTGAAAATCCTCTGAAACAGAAAACAACAAGGATTTCAGACTTTTTTCGAGGCTGAAAAAAGACGATTTAAACGTTTTAAATCTGTAGTTTGTTGTGAAAAGCAAAAAGGAAGCTCCTGCATTTGTTCTCCTCCCTCAAGCGCCACGTATTTCTTGTTCTCCTTCTAATAACCTGTGTTTTCTGCTCTTTCTCCTTCAGCCTCGGCCTTTTCTGAGCGATACCTGGGCTCGCCCTCCACCGAGGAGAACAAATACCAAGTGAGCTGCTTCTTCTCGTCGTCCGTCTGTGGCTGAACCTCAGAGTAGACTATTGACTGGAAATCTATTTTCAGAAACGGGAGTTAAACTGTTCACGGAGCCCCAGATGTTTCTTTTTTTTTTTTAAATGATTGAAATGTCTACAAGGGCAATCAGGAAACCATCCAGTATGTCAAGCTGGAAAGAAGTAAAACTGCAAAAATGATTCTATAAATCAACTTATAACTGAAGCCCAGCTCTTAAATGTAGAGAAGTATAGATAGGAAGTGATATTTAAATGATGTTCACAGCCTCTAAGTTAAAATCCCACAGTTCAGTGTGAATTCTTCTCTTTGCACGTTGACTCCAAATGTCATTTTAGCGTTTGCGCTCTATTTTTCCAGTCGTGTGGAGGTGGCACACTTTTGTAAAGCAGGTCACTGTGGTCTAAATGAAAATATGCTCTGCTCTGCTTCCATTCACAAACAAAACCGTCGCAGTCTGTTAAAGACAAAGAGGAGAATGTGGCCTCCGGCGTTTTTTAGGCAACGCTCCAAATATTATCTGATGCAACAGCGAGGAGGAGGAAGAGGAGGAGGAGGAGAAGAGGAAGAAGAACAGGGAAATGCCACAGGTTGACGCTGAAAACAAAAACACCCAGTTGTCCTCCAAACGAAGGTTGCAGCCAGAGTGTGTTTTCTTCCTAAGTGGGGCTGAGCATAACTGGGCCAGAGGACGCTATTTTTGACTCTCACAGCTGGTGGCGACGAGTGTGTGTGTGTGTGTGTGTGTGT